TAATAAAATGTTGTAAGTAAATAATATAAAATTAGCATTATATTAATATAAAAAATTAGTTTAATATTATAGACTTCTATGTACAAAAGTTTTGATTATGATAAAATAAAAGTAGTAATTAGTATTAAATAGAAATTAAAAATAAGCTATAGTATATAAATTAAAAATTTAATAGTGAGATCTATAATTAGGATATAAGTCATAACAAATGATCTGCAAATATTTAGTATGGAAAAAATCCTTGTAATTTATAGTAGTGCAGTGTATTTCCATATTGGTTAATTATCGGGGTATGCTATAACGATAATTATCAAATAAATAATGCAGATCGCGTTTCTTCAAATAATTTTTATTGAAATTTTTTTTAAGAAGTTTGAATATTGCTTATTAGGTCAACTATGAAATGTTGGAAATTCATTGAAGGTTTGATTACGCATTTTTATATGTGATTAGAAATTTAAAAAAATTTTTTTTTAACGAACTCATGAGACTCAATTCAAGGCTTGATAGGTAACATGCTTGAAGAAATCTATTAGTCCGAGTAAAATTCGGGGGTATAGTTACGATCATGGTAGCACGCACGTATAATAAATTTGACCGTGTAAAATGTTCAAGATTGCTCACTATTTTAAAGTCCTCAATGGGAAATTTTAATGGCAACTAATAAATTCACATGTATGGTTGACATGTGATGTTTCGCTAGTTTCATTTCAATATTTGTAAATTCATGACTTTATCTAATCCACAATTGCGAACATTACCACAGCAAACACACTTCATTTGAATGATCGCTTGAATGAGGAGGTTTTTTATTAATATAGTAAAATGTATTACGTAAATCTCAAAAACAGCATATATTTGGACAATAAGAATTTTTGTCTATTATACTTTCTTTTTTTTTAAATTCGAATCTATAATTATTTTTATTCATTTATAGACCTTTGAAAATGTTAACCACCACCTTATATTATAAAGATGCTATGCTTACTCCATCGGTATAACTTTTCATATTTTCCAGGAAATTATTTTTTTTAAAAAAAAATAATCCTTTAAAAACTTTTTTGCTCATTACAGGATTATAGTAATCTTTACGATGGTCAATGGTTGAATGACCAATGTGTCGATTTTTACTTGGAGTATGTGAAGAAAAAATGATAATTTTTTTTTTTTTTTATCG